TTTTTACATAAATGTCCAAAATATATCATAAAGCAAGAGTGGCTTATGATTACAAAACTAGATGTGTACTACTGCCATCTGCTGTGGAAATTGTGACTTCTGTTGATTATATAAGTTGATATGCAAAAAATTTTGTGACTATTCTTTGCTCAGAATTCATGGCTAATGTGACCCATAACCTGCACTGTCAAAAATTTATGTAAAATTAATGAACATGTATCACAGAAACCTACATCATAGGAGGACTGGAAAACAGAAGACACTTTTTAATTTCATAATATTAAATACATTCTCTCTCTGCTACTAAAGTGTGAAAGTCTAATACCAAGAGTAAATGTAAATTTCTTCACCCACATATTATATCAAGGAGCAAATACTGAAACCTCATTGTTCTGGAAGTGTATACAATAAGCCATACATGCTGTTTTTGATCTGTAAAGTTACATAACATCTGCACTTGCTCAAGTAAACCGAATGAAACAGATATTTCTTACAGCTTCAGCCTCACAAGAAACTGACAGCTATCATTCATTGACTGTTATCTATGAATGAAACCATGTGATTATACATTATGTAACTTCCACCTTGCTGTATGGTCTTTTTCTAATACATCTGTAAACACATCTGGCACAGATGCTGCCAAGATAACTTATTTCAGCTGGACCTGAACTAAAAACTGCTTCAGCAAGAAACCCTGAACCATACAGAAATAAATTAAAATTATCAAATTCTCATGCAAAATGAAACAGCTGTTCGCTGGCAGTAAAATTTAATTACAAGGGGATTTTTCAACAATATTTTAACACTGTAAATATGGTTCAGAAATTGTTAATTTTCACTCAACACATTCTACAAAAATCCACAAAAAACATATTTAGCATTTGTAAAAACCAACCCTTTCAAATAACCATAAATTGCACAAATTACTGATCACCTTCCTAAGCATCCATGAAAACAATGATTTCTGGTACACAGTTCCAGTTACAGATATAAATACTTACCCGGAAATTATCATAAAACTGTGATATGTTTTCTATAAGAGAGATGTTATTTGCAACACGTTCAAAATAAATTTGGCAGCTTTTCAATTGATCTAAAATATCTGCTTCTTCTTCTAGTGAAGTGCATGTCAAATTATCAGATATTTTATTTTTATTCCTCATTATGACAACAGCTCAGTTCCTTATCCTTGCACAAATTTTAAAATTCGGCACTCTTGCAATTCTCTTCTCTATACCCCATCTAAGAAAAGAAGAAAAAAGACAATCAGGTGATATAATTCACAAGTATGGGGAAAATACTAGTTTAATCTTCAATTCATTG